AGACTCAGTAGCAATGTGCATATGATCATATAAAAGAATATTTTATGAAATGAACTCTAAGAAAAGGAAATGAGAATTTTTTTTAGTTACTGCTGTTGCTGTTTTGGTTTTCTTTTGTTTGTCTTTGGGAAGGTAACAGGGGCACAGAAAAGGTGGAACAAAGGGTGAACAAATACAACAGTAGTACTCACTAGACATGTGTGAGATGAACTGAATATTTTGTGAGTGGTGACAGGAAGGAAAAACTGGGAGAGAGTAAGAGAAGGGGAGACATGGTTCAAAGAGAATTGTATTCTTCACCTGACTTATTTAACTGTCACCTCTCAGTATATCACCTCTACACTAACAATAAAATATATCAAAGAAGACAAAACTAAAAAAAGATTAGTAATCATGAAAAGGAAACATAACTGGCAGAAGCAGGTTATAAACCAGGTCTGTCTGAGTCTGGAACTCAGGTCTTTAGCCATTATGCTATATTATTTCATCTCCTTAAAATCTAAGAGTAATGGGAGGTGAGGCAGGAGGTTCATATAGCTCAGGAGGTTGAGCTACATAGTGAAACCCTGTCTCAAAACAACAAAAATGCTGAGTGAATAGTTCATAATCTCTAGGGCCTCATTGTTCAAGTCCCTTATGCCCAAGTGCCATTTCAATTTTTTTCTACAACTTGACTGCCATATGTCTGATTTTCAGGGCAAATAGGAATATTTGCTGATCACATATGTACTCCAATATTTCATACTATTTTTGGGGGGAGTCCAGTCATGTGGCCTGAACTCTGGGCCTGGGCGCTGTCCCTCAGCTCTTCAGCTCAAGGCTAGCGCTCTACCACTTGAACCACAGTGCCACTTCTGGCTTTTTTCTTTTTGCTTATGTGGTGCTGAGGAATCGAACCCAGGGCCTCAGGCATGCAAGGCAAGTGCTCTACCACTGAGCCGCCTTCCCAGCCCCATTTCATACTTTTATGTCTTTGTTTAAGTAAGAATGCTGTCTCACAGGCTCCAGAAAACAATACAAATTTTTAAATCATTTCATAATATAATCATTTCCTAAAAAAATGTCATGATTTTCATTACAAGGGCCATTAATTTTTACTTTCATATAAATATTTTTCCTGAAACCATTCAAAAGCATGTATGAAGATTGTTTTGTTTTTTTTCTGGGATTTTGTTTGTTTTTGTCTCTTGTAGGCCTTGAACTTTGGGCCTGGGTGCTGTCCCTGAGCTCTTCAGCTCAAGGTGAGCACTTGAACCACAGCATCACTTCCAGTTTTCTGGTGGTTAATTGGAGATAAGAGGCTAAGAGTCTCACAGACTTTCCTGCCTGGGCTGACTTTGAACCACAATCCTCAGATCTCAGTCTCCTGAGTAGCTAGAATTATAGGCATGAGCCACCAAAACCTGGCTTATTTTTTAATGATCTTTTTATTAGCATACACTAGTAATTTCATGAACTTAAAAATATATTAAGCTTTCCAACATAAGGTAAAATCTTACAACCTTAGATTTGGCTAGAATTCCAAAGGCTTGGCTCATAAAAGGAAAAAATAAGTTAGATTTCAACAAAATTAAGAACTTCTGCTGTATAAAAGATAACATCAAGAGGATAACACAAATCACAGACCAGAAGAAAATATTTGCAAAAGACATATTTGATAAAGGAGGGTTATCCAAAAGAAACTTAAAATTCATCAATAAGAAAATAAGAGCTGGATGCCGGTGGCTCACGACTGTAATCCTAGCTACTCAGGAGGCTGAGATCTAAGGATCACAGTTCAAAGCCATCGCGGGCAGGAAAGTCTGTGAGACTCTTATCTGCAATAGACCACTAGAAAACCAAAGTGGCACTGTGGCTCAAGCGGTAGAGCCCTTGACTTGGCCCAGAGTTCAAGCCCCATGACTGACAAAGAAAGAAAGAAAGAAAGAAAGAAAGAAAGAAAGAAAGAAAGAAAGAAAGAAAGAAAGAAAGAAAGAAAGAAAGAAAGAAAGAAAGAAAGAAAGAAAGAAAGAAAGAAAGAAAGAAAGAAAGAAAGAAAGAAAGAAAGAGAAAGATAAGAAAGAAAGAGAAAGAAAAGAAGGAAGGAAGGAAGGAAAAGAAAAGAAGAAACCTGATTTAAAAGTATGAAAAATATTCAGATGTATACTTGAACCAACATGACAAAACATGAGGGAAGAAAAAAAAAGTCAGATGCCAGTAGCCCATGCCTGTAATCCTATCCATTTAGGAGGCTGAAAATGGGAGGATGGTGGTTTGAGGTCAGCCTAGGCAGAAAAGATCACAAGATCCTTTCTCAACCCATACCTTGGCATAGTGGTGCACCCAAACCTTCTTGTAGCTAGTTGGTAGATCAATGTTCCAGGCCAGCCCAGGCAGAAAAGTCCACGAGACTCCATCTCAACAGAGGAAGCCAGGGGTGGTGGCCTATGCTTGTCATCAATTGTAAGCTGTTTTGGGAAGCTTAAATAGAGAGGGCATGATCCAGATACATGTCTGAAAAGGAAGCAATTTCACCAAGGCGTTAAAGGGCTGGAGGCATGCCTGAGCAATAGAGTGCCTACCAAGCAAACTCGAGACCTTGAGTTCACCCTAGTGCCAGAAAAAAAAAGAAAACCACTCAACACATGCCATTAGGGAGTTGTAAATTAAAACAATCAATATGATATCACTCCACAGAATAGTTAAAATCCAAAATCTAGACAATGGCAACCACTGGTGAGAAGGTAGAACAATGGGAACTCTTATACACTGGTAGTGGAAAAGTAAAAGTGGTAAAACATTTTGGGAAACGTTTGGCAGTTTCTGACAAATCTAAATATAATCTTACCGCACGCACGACAACAACTTTACCTCTTGGTATTTGCTCAAATGAGTTGAAAATGTATGCCCCCCTGTAAACCTATGTACCTGGTGGTTATAGTAGCTTCACTCATAATTGCCATCATAATGAGCTTTCCATTGCTGTAATATAATACCAGAGAAAATAAGTTGAAAAGGAAGATTGACTTTTTTTTTTTTTTTTGGCCGTCGTGGGGCCTGAATTCTGGGCCTGGGCAGTGTCCCTCAGCTCTTCAGCTCAAGGTTAGTGCTCTACACTTGAGCCACAGTGTCACTTCCGACTTTTTCTGCTTATGTGGTGCTGAGGAATCGAACCCAGGGCCTCATGTGTGCAAGGCAAGCGCTCTACCACTGAGCCACCTTCCCAGCCCCGAAAGATTGACTTTGAGTCACAGATTCAAAAGCTTCAGTCCATGGCTAGCTGTCACTGCAAGGCCTTTCATGAAGCAGAACATTGTGTTGGTGACAGTGGAGGAGCTCACTCATCTTTGTGGCATTAGGAAGCAAAAAGGAAGGCTTGCTTTTATAACAGAACCCCTCCCCTGTTTAACATGAAGTCAAAAAGCAAGTTAAAAAAGATTACATTATTTCAATAAAGTTTAAAACAATATGGAGAACATGTCTGATGAGTCTATGTATGGTTTCCAGGTATACAATCATTTACACAGAAAGTATTAAAATACTCACGAAGCTGATAAATTCAAGATAGAATACTGATTATTTCTGGGTAGGAAGGACTGAACAGGGCAAAACATGAGGGTATATATAGGGCTTCATATTACATGCAGTTTTTATTTGTTTTAAAAATGAGAGCCAAATGCTGGTGGCTCATGCCTATAATCCCGCTATGCAGAAGCGTGAGATGTGAATATAAAAGTTTGAAGCCAGCCTGGGCATGAAAGTCTATGGGACTCTTCCAGTTAACCACCAAGCCAAAAGTGGAGTTTGTGGCTCAAATAGATTACTAACTTTGAGTGAAAAAGCTAAGAGTCAGCACCCAGGCTCTGAGTTCAAGCCCCAGAACACACTTTCTCTCTCTCTTTCTCTCTCTCTCTCTCTCTGACACACACACACGATTTGAGGCAAAAGGAGAATCTGTTAACGTTTAACAAGGCTTGTCAGTGGGTCTGTGAATTTTGGCTTCGTTATTCTGATGTACTGGTTGTGCTTTTATTTTCTGTATTATTCCACATCTTGGTTAGACCTATGATTTTATATTTGTTTGGGGCTCAAATATACAATACAACCTGCAATTTAATCCTCGGAATAGCCTTATGAAGTCAACGGGACAGAAATAAGTCTTCTTCTTATTCCACAGAACAGTAATGTCAGACGGCAGAACAATTTATAAATTTATAAAGGACCGGGCACGCAGTTATTTCTTGCTCAGCGCTATTTGCCCGGGAATCCACTTAGGTTTGACGAACCCAGCCTGGTCCGCCCCACCCAACCTTGGGCAAGGCGCTTGCTCAATGCGAGAAGGAATGTTGCACACAGAAGCCAAATATTCCTTCAGAAAGCCCTGGGTTCTGAAGCGCGGGGAGCAGACTCCAGGACCGACGCCGAGGGACGCCCAGGAACCCGGCGGCTGCGAGCGGGCGCCGGCGGGTCAGCCGGCGGGTTCTCGCCGTCTCCGCGCCCGCTGGCGGGGTCCACGCGCGAGCAAATGGTTTGCTCCCTCCGTGTGCCGCCCCCACTCCCACCCCGGAAACCCAAAACACAACCACCTGAGCACCACGCACCAAGGAGTTCTCACTGCTTTAAAGGAGACTGCGTGTCTGCGCTGATGCTAGCGGTAGCGAAGCCTGTCCGTTCTGGCTCTTATGTTTAGGGAGGATGAGGGCGAACACACACACACACACACACACACACACACACACACACACACACGAGCCCGCGGGTCCCAGCGCGCCAGGCTGGGGCTTCCCGATCTTGGCACTGGGAGTCTGGGCTGCTTCGGCGCAGACCCAGGAGGCTTCTGGCAAAGAACCTGAACTGTCCCGGAGCGGCGCCGTCCGCAGAAGCCACAGGTCCCTTTAAGGCTCCCTGCAAGCAGAAGAAGAAGAAAAAAAAAGAAAGAAAGAAAGAAAGGGGGGGAGAGGGGGCGGGTCCTGGGTTCCCCAACGCGCGCCACGTGACCCGGCTGCCCAGATCGCCAGTGAGTTTGACAGAAGTTTGAATCGGACCCGAGGGCTTTCTGCAGCCGGCGGGCCAGAGCGGTGGCCACGGTCCCTGGGCGCGAGCGTGATCCGGACGAGCGGCGCCACCGAGACCCACCCCGCCAGCCTGGATCGCGGCTCGCCGACGGCCTCGAGCCCGCAGCCCCCAGCTCCAGCGCGGTCCCCGCAGCCCCCGGACCAGGGAGCCGAGCTCCGGCGCTGCGCCCCGGCCCCGCTGTACCAGCATGTCCTCGACGGAGAGCTCCGGACGCGCCGCGGACAAGTCGCCGCGCCAGCAGGTACGCCCCACGCACCCTGGGGTGCTCTCCCCTACCCTCCCCCCTCTCTTCCCGCCCCCTCTGGCCACCTAGATGTTGGCCCTGACTCTGACTGCGACCCCCCCTCCCGCTCCGATGGGAGTGGGAAGCGGGGGGGGGGCGCGCGTTCCTCCCCGGGGGGGGGGGTGGCTTTGGCCTTGGCTGCCCGCTGGCTCTGTCTCCGCAGGTGGACCGCCTGCTCGTGGGGCTGCGCTGGCGACGGCTGGAGGAGCCGCTGGGCTTCATCAAAGTTCTCCAGTGGGTAAGTCTCTATCCCAGTCCCGGGCTATTTCGGGAGCCTGGACTGTGACGCTGACCCCAAGCAATGTGGCGCGGGTGGGGGCTGGGGAGGAGCTGCGGCCCGGTCACCGCCGCGGGGTGGGGGGCGGCGACAGGTGGGTGGGGGAGGGGCGGACTGGACGGCTTCCCCAGCCCTCAGCGGCCAGAGGGTGAGGAGCGAGGCATGCGGAGCCCCAGATTCGGTCCTTCTATGTGCAAGGAGCCTTTGCCCAGAGCGCTCACATTTCACTCGGGCGAGAGGACCCGGGTATAACCTTTCCAGAACTCTGATCCTGCACATACCACTCCTCGGTGGCAGGAGGGGGGAGGAAGATGAGGGGGATAAGGTCCACTCTGCACTGCAAGGGAAACCACAGAGGGCAAAGGAGGGAAGAGGCGGGCTATATAAACCACCCTGCTCCAAATTCATAAGGACCTGGATAATCCTGGGAGTTAAGTCAAGGGACAGGCTTGGAGGATGTAAAGAGGGGGTCCACTGGAGTAATCCAGGTTCCTGAAACTGAATGGGGAAGTGGCTGAATGAATGAATGACTGAGGCTTACTGGTCCTAAAATTGACTAAAAAGAAGAAAATTAAGACGACAAAAATCACAGTATGAAGCCACTCACCAGTGGCCCGTAATCCCAGCTACTCAGGAAGCTGAGATCTGAGGATGGAAGTTAAAGCCAGCCTGGCTCTTATCTCTTAATTAATAATAATTTTTTAAAAAGGACCTCCTGAGTTCAAGACTCAGAACTGGCGTGCGCGCGCACGCGCGCGCGCACACACACACACACACACACACACACACACACACACTCTCGTGATCATATGATCATTATGGCTAACATGTACCATGTGGAATAAGAACACTACCTGGAAAGCAGGAGCCTTGGGTTGCAGACCTGGACCTGCTTTTTTCAACTATGTGACCTTGAGCAAGTCACTTCACTTCTACATTAGTCAAATGTGGACCTGACCATTGGTAGGTCCTAAATAGGTTCTAAATAGGTTAGCATGTTAGATAGAACATGGCCCGACATTAAATTTACTCTGTGACCTTGAAAAACTCATTTGCCTAGATCCTCAGTTTCCCCTATTTTGGTCTAGTGGAAATACCATCTCATTGCTTCACAGATACTTTAAAACACTGGTAAGCCCTCTCTTCTTTCCAGAGACCAAGCAAGGGCTCCTGGGTATAAATCAGGAATGTGAACAGGTGCAGCCAATCATAAAGACGTGTGTGTGTGTGTGTGTGTGTGTGTGTGTGTGTGTGTGTGTGTGTGTGTGAGGTATTTATCATGCTACCGCAGAAGAAAATTTAAATAAGACAATATACATACCAAATAGTAGGTAAATAACTTAATGTGCTCTTAGCACAGAATGTGACAATGGAATAAATTAAATTAATACTTAGGAGGATTGAATTCAAAATTAAGGCCATTGTTTCACCAAATCCTAAATCATGGTTTGGATGAGAATCATCAAACCTGAAATTCAGGACCAATGGTGCATTTGGTATTATCTATCAATATGTGATATCCTGATTGAGGATATACACCAGTCTAGTTAGCTCTCAAGTGTAAACTTTGTAGCCTGATGGGGACTTTCCTCTGTCCCTGCTGGCTCAAGAATAGTGGCACCAATTGCTGATGAAGCCTTTTCACCTCCTACCACTTCCCTGCTCTTTCCCACCACATGAGTGCCAGAGGAGACCATATCAAAATGACAAGAAGGCTCTGAGTGACTGGTATTCAGAAGTAGGAGAGCAATTATGAGGCAGAAGTGTAAGGGTTTAATTTTATCTTTAAAATCAACAAATGGATCTAACAGAAACTTGAGGAAGACTGGCAAAGATGAAGAAAGCAATCTTTTCTGGGGAATTCCTTAAAGCTTCCTTCATCAATCCTCTTATCCACCCACTCAGTACACACAACATTTCTGCAAAAGCTGCACTGAGCATGTCCTAGGGAAATGGTCCAGTCTTCTCCCAGGACCAGGAGAGGCCCTAAGAATAAAGACCTACTTGATTTTTTATGATCTTTAGCTTCACAGCAAACACTTTCACAAAACAGAGACCTATTTCTCTCATACTGCTAAATCCTAAAGTCTGGCTTTAGATATTGAACTGGCTTTCACTGACAGGGTAGCATCATAAGGAGACATTACTTGGTTTTAATGCCATCCCAGATAGACTGAATTGAGGACATAAGTTTCATTTGCTTTTAATTTTTGCAAATGGGCTACTACAAGAGTACAAAGGTAGCCAGGCTTCAGTGGCTTATGCCTGTAATCCTAGCTACTCAGGAAGCTGAGAATTGAAGAGACTCTTGTCTCCAATTAATCACCAAAAAGTCAGAAATGGAGCTGTGGCTCAAGTAGTAGGACACTAGCATTAAACAAAAAAGTCAAGGGACTGCATCTGGACCCTAAGATCACAAAATATAAAACAAAATTGTAGAACCTAGAAGAAATGTAGAAATGTCAGTGAAAATCTCTCTTAATTTGTTGTTTGTCTTCATGGAGAGATCAGATGTTTCTGATTAGAAGAAGAAAAACAAAAATCACAATCTTGTAGTTATGGAATGGTCATTGAAAACTTGGTTTGCCATTATTACCAAAAGGCTAAGGTCTTACAGGAATCCTTGCAAGAAGAAAGTGATGTAATTCTTTTGATCAGGAGGAGTTTAGCTTAGTGTATCTTTAAGAGTCAGAAATGAAGGCCAGGCATGCTGACACATACTTGTAATCCCAGCTACTTGGGAGGAGGAGTTTGAGAAGATTGATGTTCAAAGCCAACCTGAACAAAAAGTTAGTGAGATCTCATCTTTACCAATAAAATAGGAAGAGCACTGCATAACTGTTATCCCAGTCATAAATAGGAGGATCATGGCCTAGGCTGTCCTGGGGAAAAACTTGACACCCTACCTGAAAAATTACTAGAGCAAAAGAGCCAGAGGCATGGCTCAAGTGGTCATCCCTACCTAACAAGTGTGAGACACTAATTTTAAACTCTAGTGCTCTAAAAACAATAATTTTTATTTACTATTATTGTTATTATTTTTATTTTGCCAGTCCTGGGGCTTGAACTCAGGGTCCGGGCACTATCCCTGAGCTTCTTTGTGCTCAAGGCTAGTGCTCTACCACTTGAACTACAGTGCCACTTCCAGCTTTTTCTGTGTATGTGGTACTGAGGAATCTAATCCAGGGCTTCATGCATGCTAGACAAGCACTCTGCCACTAAGTCACATTGACAGCCCGAAATAATAGTTTTTTAAAAGACAAATTAAGCTGGTCTTGGTGGCCCAGGCCTACAATCACAGCATTTGGGGAGCTATAACACAAGTTCAAGGCCATATAGTAAGGCTTTTCTTTTAAAAGAAAACAACTAGTATTACCTCAATCCTGGTTCTGGAATCTATCTTAGGTATATAAACTAATTATTGGAGAACTAGGGGGCTTGCTTGGTTGGAAATTTTAGATAAGATCAAGAATAGCCTGGAACTTGGGACTTAAACTCACAATTCAACTGCCTTAGCCTCCAAAGTATTGGGACTACAGATGTATGCAGAGAAGTTTTTTCTTTTATAACTTAAGAGAGCAGACTTTGGGGTCAGATGGGTTTGGGTTTAAATTCAGTCTCCTCTGAGTTTGAGCCCTAGGATAGTGGGTAAGTGATGAAATGTTTATGAACCTCAGTTCCTTACTTGGACCTGAGAATTAAGAACTGCCTATGGACTTACAGGATGGACTCTAGGTCACATCTGTAACGCATAGAACATTTCCCAGGACTACTGTGTTGGTTCCTTTTCCTTCTATCTCCAAACTTCCGCTTTGCCCTAACTTTCTCCCTTATACAGACTATCCAGCTAGATTTGACCTTTAGTGAGATTATTCAAGTACCAGTCCAAATTTTCAATTTGATGGTAAGGGACAAATAATCTCTGAGTGACTCAGTCACTAATCCCATTTCCTTATAAGTAAATCATATTACCTTTACCTAATTGAGCCTTCCTGATGATTCTTCCATCTCTGGGATTCTAAAGTAATTGATTTGACTCCATGTTCTATGTAATGAAAAGGAGTTATTTCAGTATGATGAATTTGAAAGGCCAACATCATAGTCTTCAAAATTGGTAAGACGGTCAAATGTCAGTGCTTCACACCTGTAATCCTAGCTACTCAGGAGGCTGAGATCTGAGGATCTGAGGATCTAAGGTTCAAAACCAGCTTGGGTAGAAAAATCTGTGAGACTCTTATTTCTAATTAACTCCCAAAAAGCTGGAAGTGAAGGTGGGCTCAAGTGATAAAGCACTAGCCTTGATTAAAAAAAAAAAAGCTAAGGGACAGTGCCCAGACCTTAAGTTTACCAGAGCCAGCACCAAAAAGTCCATGAGACTTCTATCTCCAATTAATCACAAAAACTTGGAAGTGGAGCTGTGGCTCAAGTGGTAGAGCACTAGAATTGAGCACAAAAGCTCAAGGACAGTGCCCAGGCCCAGAGCTCAAGCCCCAGGACTGGGCAAAAACAATAATATAAAATAAACTCTGAAAAAATGGTATGGAGAGGATCTCAGAAACAAACTTATCTTCCTGTGCCCTGCATTAACTGACCATGGTGGAATTCTCCAGATTGACAGTATTATCACCAGCCAGCAAGTCAGCACCAAAATGGAGCTTCATCCTTCATCTGACATCTTTCTGACACCTTGGTAAAGCAGTACAGAGTGGGGAAAAGATGGAGGTAGAGAATAGAGTGGGATCATCACTGTTTTCAGCAAGGCATGGAAAGAAAATTGACACCTGAATTTCTGGGGTAATTTCTGGGTCTCCATTTTTGACTGTTGTTTATGACCACTGTGTTTGTCTCAGAGCCTTGGCCATAGTGATAGGGGTGGTTTTCTCCTCTGCCTATTCATACTAGAGAAGGAAAGAAATGTGGGGTAGAAAGAGTGAAGGGTTGGGAGCTATGGACGACCTGAGTCTGAGTGTGTCTCTTGGCACTTGCAGCCCAGGGCACAGATCCAACTCCCTTCATTGTAGTCTTCACTGAGCACCGTATAGATCTCTCCTTTAGTCCTAATAACTTGTGGTTATTAAAGAGGTGTTTTTTTAAGTTCCTTTTGCTTGTTATTTTTATCATAAAACTTCTTTTTTTCCCACAGTTACTGAGCTTTGAACTCAAGGACTTGTACTTGCTAGGCTAAGAAACTACCACTTGAACCACACCTCCAGCTCTGCTTTTAGATGATGTAGTCTAGCAAAAAATTCTGTCTAGGATGGCCTCAAACTACAACCCTCCAGATCTTAGTTTCCTGGGTAGCTAGGATTGCAGGTATGAGCCACTGATGACACTTCGTTTTTGATATGATCCTCGACAACAGGAACCAGGTCTCATTCATCTCCCTATCTCTACATCTGGGTACTGTACAAGGGGCATGCTCAATCAGTGTTGAATGAATGAATGAAGCAGAAAGCTCCCTGGACAGAGAATCAGGAGGTGGGAATTTGGCTCTTACATTAGCTAAATGTGACTTTGAGAAAGTCAATCTTCTAGGACTTCTGTTTCCACCTCTTTGAAATGAGACCATTGGGCCTGATAATCGCTGAGATCCTTTAGTTTTGCTGTTCAGTGAATCTGTGAGTTTTTTCTGTCTTTCTCATTATCAACTTATGTATCAAACTTTCTGTTATCTGGTACCATCTGACTGGTGATTGGATTTAAATGGGTGTTTGAGGGTAGGGACATTGTTCAATGGGAGAGCATTTCCTTAGCATGCTTAAGAGCTCAGGTTCAATCTCCAGCATAATAAGAAAAATAGACAAACATAGATTTTGTAAGTAGAAAACATTCATCATGGATTAGAGATTCCTACCTTCCAAAGAATCAGAATAGCCTAGAGTTAACAATAAAGTTACAATGGATTTATTTTGCCACTGAAAAATCAAAGAACAACGTTCAGAATTCTTAGAGCCTCAAAGTCAGCATTTAGAAAAAGCAGAAATCTCATTCATGATGGAAAAGTCCTATCATCTGTGCTGATGAATAGAGTACATCCTAGCCATTTAACACTTATTTATTGGGCATATATCTCGTACCTTGGTAGCTAGAGATGTGAAGATGAACGAGACCTAGTACCTCCTATTGAATACTTGAGATGTGGCTAGTATGGCCAAATAGCTGAATTTTAAGTTTCACTTTACTTTCATTAATTTAAATAGTTACAATTGGCTACTGTTTTCAACAGTAAAGCATGAGCTCCACGAGGACAGATTTCTTCACTGCTAAGAAGTAGTGCCTAAAACAGTACAAGAAATGTCATCTTAGCTGAACATCAGTGGCTCACACCTGTAATCCTAGCTTCTAAGACTGAGATCTGAGGACTGATGTTTGAAGCAAGGAAGGAAGGAAGGGAAGGAAGAAGGAAGGGAAGAAGGAAGGAAGGAAGGAAGGAGGGAAAGTCATGTTTATGAAAATGTTCAACAGTGTCTGTAAGTGAAGGCTGGTGAAGAGACAGCTTCATAACTAACCATTCACTGCTCTAAATGAGGAATTCCTACATATCCTCCTAGGAAATTGTAAGGAGCTACTCACTAACTGCCAATGAGTAAAAATACATCATCCCACTTTCCATCCTTTCTGCAATGTGATGCCCCCACCACCCGCCATTGTGTCCAGTTCTGAGCATCAGAAACAAAGAGGAAAAAGAAACCCCTAGGGGAAATCAGAGACCCACAGAGACAACAAAGGATAAGAAAATTTCTCTAAAGAAAAACCAGTTCCATTGTTGTGCCTAGAAGTCAGCTTTGAGTATAGGAAGGGTAAGGATGTAGAGGCTTCCAGTACTTTTCTCAGGCTCTGTCAGGAAGGTGAGAATAAAGGACTCTACTGCAGCCCACATGGTTTAATTCAGTGATGGAGGCTGTCTACTAAGGCATTCTTCCATTGGTGACTTTACTAAGGGAGACAATTCTCGTTTGTCTGGAACAAACTTCCTGAAAACAGAGGTGTACATTATGACCTTTAGAGAGAAGTCAATGACTCTACCAGAGAGCCAGGCCAGGCCACACAAGGCAGAGCATTGGCACCAGATACCACCCAGGGGCAGAGCACAGCTGTTGACAAGTCCAGCCAAGAGCAGGCTGATAGTGTTAACTTCAGAGGGTGAGAGAATTCCAGAGCTGGAAAAAGCCACTAGATGATCTCCATGCCCCTCATTTTACATACATGGAAGCGAAGACTCAGAGAGTACTGTCTTTTGACTAACTGGTATAGGGCCAGGACTAGAAGCCAGATTTCTAGAGTCTTCATTCAGATCTCTTCACTTCAAAACACGAACAAGCATTATCAAAATAATGCACAACTCCATTCTAGCTTCTGAATACAAGATTTCAGTATAGATTAGTTGTCTTCTATTGAGTCACAAATAAACATACAGAAAACAAACAAGCTTACAGAAAACAGAATAAGCTCTATACTTGATACAGGCCAAAGGGAAGTACACAAGAAACTGGGACTGAGCACACACATGTAAAAGAATAAGATTCCATTTTTTCTCCTCCTTCTCTACCAAAATACATTGCCCATGAAGATATCTGAGAATCACAGGAGAGATGAAACTTAGGGCTGAAGCTGCAGTCAAACGCGATGAAAGTCACAGAAGAAAGCCATTCAAGTGGTCTGAAACACCTCCTAACTTCCTCACAATGAGAAATGGCAGCACAAGTAGGTTACAAAGAGGAATATCAGTGGGGAAATAGTAGAGGCTGATAAAGCAAGTGGAGGGTACATTTTCCTGGGCTTGAGCCAGGACTGTCAGCACTGGCCCAGCCAACACTGTTGCTGGAAGAAAATGTGCTTTCAGGGAAGATAGGCTGACCATACCATGGGAAAGCTCGGAGGAAGATTCCCTCCAACCATACTGTATCTCCAATGAGGCAGGAAACCATTCAAAGTCAGGAACAGGGTGAGGACAAGATTCCAAGACTGGCCCAAGTGCTGGTGGCTCCCACCTGTAGTCATAGCTACACAAGAGGCTGAGATCTAAGGATTGAGATTCAAAGGCAGCCTGAGCAGTAAAGTCCATAAGACGCTTATCTCCAATTAACCAGCAAAAATCTGGAAGTAGAGCTATTGCTCAAGTGTTGGAGCCCCAGCCTTGAGTGAAAAAAACAAGGAACAGAACTTAGGCTCTGAGTTCAAGCCCCAGTACACACACACACACACACACACACACACACACACACACACACACACACACGGTTCTAAGACTAGTTCAGAAGAGAGATAAAAGGCATTGTGGGCATTCCTGATCTGGGTTTGTGAAGGGAAATCTTATTCTGATGGTGCTTTTCTCTTAGAGAGGAAAAATTAAGTCTAGCTTTGAGAAAGACCCTTTCCAAAGCCCAAATTACAGAGGTTTTGTATTTGTTAGGCTACCAATGGTACTCAATGTCATGCCAATGGGAAAATCATCTATATGTTCTCTCCTCCTTTTCCTCTTCATTTGGTTATTTGTTCCAACATCTTGGGCAATAAACACAACCCCCTGAGCTGAGAGATGAACGGCAACCATGGCTCCCTGCCCAGGAGGGGCATGATTAAAGGGAATCTTCACTCCTTGCTTTGTTCACTCCTCAGTACCTGCTGGAGTCAGGGACTGGTTCTTTACCTTGGCCAGGTGAGGTCTTCCAACTCTCAAAGGGGCTTCACTTTCTCTCAGCTCTTTGCTATTTTCGCCTTCGGGTCCTGCGGCTCCTACAGCGGGGAGACAGGAGCGACAGTTCGCTGCAACAACGAAGCCAAGGATGTGAGCTCCATCATTGTTTTGTTCGGCTATCCCTTCAGGTGAGCAGGGATTGGTTCATTCCTGGCACCGCATCTCTCACTAGATTAGCAGGACCTGCTTGGTCTCTTCTACTTCCTGAAATCTAAAGATTCAAATAGGATAATCAAACTTGGGTTCTTTCTGCCCTTCAGACATAATAATCAGAGAAAAATATAAGGGAAAACACAGAAAGATCACTGTTATGATGTTTTACCCTAAGGTCAACCTATCAAGGTCATAACAGTCCAGACAAACAGAATCCAGGCATTGGGCTGGAGGCTGATAGAAGTCTGGGCATGTTGGGAAGCTCTCTCTGACCCTCAACAGTCTCCCCTCTGCTTTGAAGTAAGGAAGTTTGCAGTTCTTATATTCTTAACAAACTTGATGTAAGATGTCCACCTGGTACCACCAGAATACAAAGAGACATACCTGGACCAGAAATAGAAGAAAGGCATTTGGGAGCTTGGCATGGAGGGCGGGGGGAGTATTCAGAAGAGAATGGAGAAGCTAGAAGCTAGGTGCTAGTGCCTCATGCCTATAATCCTAGCTATTCAGGAGGCTGAGATCTGAGGATCAAGGCTCAAAGTCAGCCCACGCAGACAAATATAAGAGTTTTTTTTTTAATTTTGTTTTTGGGTCCGGTCATGGGGCCTGAACTCTGGGCCTGGGCGCTGTCCCTCAGCTCTTCAGCTCAAGGCTAGCATTCTACCACTTGAGCCACAGCGCCACTTCTGGCTTTTTTTCTTTTTGCCTATGTGGTGCTGAGGAATCGAACCCAGGGCCTCATGCATGCAAGGCAAGCGCTCTACCACTGAGCCACCTTCCCAACCCCAGCAGATTTTTTTATCTCCACTTAACCAGCAGAAAGCCAGAAATGGAAGTATGGATGAAGTGGTAGAGCACCAGCCTTGAGTGAAAAAGCTAAGGGACAGCTTGAGGCCCTGAGTTGAAGCCCCAGTACTGCTGGGGAGAGGGCGGGGGGGTGGGGAGAAGGAGGGAGAAGGAAGGGAAAGGGAGGGGAGAGAGACATAGTTTATCTTTTCAGAAATGTTTAGTATCAGCTTCTTCAGAAATATCTAGTAGCAACTCCCAAATAAAATTAGATGCCTCTTGTGTGTGTGTGTATATATATATATATATATATATATATATGTATATACACATACATACACATATATACATATGTGTATATACATATATGCACAACAAACATACATATATATATACACATATATATACATTATATATATATATACACATATATATATATATATATATACATATATAAAACAGGCTATGCTTTTCTCTTCATTGAAAGGCCTACATAAAGCCCAAGTCTTGAGAATGGATGAATCAAACCTTAATTTGGCTACTGCTTAACTGGGACCTGTACTTTGCCAGGGGCAGAATCAGTTGATTTGTTTAGTGGTTTGGCTACCAGAAATAAGGGCTCTGGAGATTTGACTTCCATGAGGACCATGCCTAGGCAGGTGAATGGTGGTTGTGGGGTGGTGGCTGAGAGAGAGGTAGGAATGGAATTTTGGGGAAGTTCTCCTCTTGACTGCCAGGTTCCCTGCAGAAGTGCTGCTTCTCTCCTTACACAATCCCTTTCTTGGCTTTATGTCAAGGACCACTAGCAGGGGACCACCCCTGGGGTGGGGAGAGAGAGGCTTGCCCTCGCTCAGGATGGCCTCCTTTGCCACCTGCAGGTTGCATCGGGTCCAGTATGAGATGCCTCTCTGCGACGATGACTCCACATCGAAGACCATGCACCTCATGGGGGACTTCTCTGCCCCTGCTGAGTTCTTTGTGACTCTTGGCATCTTTTCTTTCTTCTATACGATGGCTGCTCTGGTCCTCTACCTGCGATTTCACAAGCTCTATACAGAGAACAAGCGCTTCCCACTGGTGGTAAGTAAACACAGCCCAGAGGAGTAGGGCCAAGGAATAAAGGGTACATTTGTTAGGAGGCTGAGGTCAGAGCTGGTGGGGAGAACGAACATAGTGGCTTTCGTGCGTCCCTAACACCTGTATGTGGAATTGCTGCCACCCCCAACCTCCCACAACTCCCCCAGGAGCCACAAATAGCAGAAGCAGACAAGCTTCTCAATCAGACAAAGTTCCTCATCCTCTCTACTCAACCCCTCAGTTTCCTTAGCTATAAAATGGGGATGGATTAATATCTGCCTCACTGTGTGCAGTGGTAGATAAAATGAATATATATTCAAAGAACCTGGTATATTGTCAGCCCCAATGACAGTTAGCCATTATTAGTATTATTTCATTTACCTTTCCCAGGCATGCAAGGTGGAAGCTTTGCTTTAAGAACTTGACTATCTTGAGTCGGCTTTTGCCTCTACTGATAGTTGAGCAACCACAGAGAGGAAGCTGGTGTTTAGATCTCCTAGGGTTTTTGTTTGTTTTGTGTGTGTGTGTGGGGGGGGGTGTTCCTGGGGCTTGAATTCAAGGCCTGAGCTTTTGTGCTCAAGGCTACTCTACTACTTGAGCCACACAGCTCCACTTCTGGCTTTTTGGTAGTTAAATGGAGATAAGAGTCTCACAGACTTTTTGCACAGACTGGCTTTGAACCTCAATCCTCAGATCTCAGCCTCCTGAGATTACAGGCATGAGCCACTGGTCTCCTAGGTCTCCTAGGTCTTGATGCCTGACCTTAGTTGGGCGAGGAGGGATAGGAGGTAGCATTTCCTTGGTGGCAGTGAGCAGTGATCAAAAGCATCCGGGCACTCTGAGGCTTTAGGTGTCAGATAGGATGGGAAAAAGGAGCTATCTCGGGACTCCAGGATTCTGATGTATCAGAGCAAGAGGGAAATGAATTGGAATTGTGGGGCCCTTCTGAATGTATTTCCTGTCCCTCTGCTCCTCCCAGGACTTCTGTGTGACTGTCTCCTTCACCTTCTTCTGGCTGGTAGCTGCAGCTGCCTGGGGCAAAGGCCTGACTGATGTCAAAGGCGCCACACGGCCATCCAGCCTAACTGCAGCCATGTCTGTGTGTCATGGAGAGGAAGCAGTGTGCAGTGCGGGAGCCACACCCTCTATGGGCCTGGCCAACATCTCTGTGGTGAGATTTGTGATCACTGGAGAGGTCTGGGGGGAAACATACTCTCTCAGATATCCAGACCATTCCTAGATACCTAATCCCAGGAGGAACAGAGACGGTGTCCCCTGAACTAGAGCTAGCACTCCCTGTTACCTACGGCTGGCCTGAGAAGACATGTTGAGATGAGGGAGCAAGTCCCATGTCCTCCCCGCCCCCCCCCCCCACTCTGAAACCTTGGCCTGGCAGCTGACTCCTACCTTTTCTTCCTGTTGACCAAACTTGTGTCAGGGCACAAGTGACCATGTGGAAGAGGAGTTTGGGGCTATGGCTGGGCTGAGCTGGGAGTCAAACCCAGAGTGAATGAGAAGGGACTCCTTGACACTTAGCCTCCCACACTGGAAAGAGGCTTTGGGACAGAGGTTGGTCCCACTGGTAGGCATGTATCCAGCCATCCCCATTGTTAGGATGTTGAAATATGGACATATCACCTGGTGAATACCTGAGGCTTTGAGCTTCTTAAGTCTGCCCTGTCATCTCAGCCATCTCAGATGCACTCAAAATGTCTTGGATCACCCAAAGATGGATACAACTAAAATCAAAGGCTGGTACATCAAGGAGTCTTCTGGAACTTACTAGAATCCTGATCATAGGTTTCTCACCACATTTTGTTGTTACTGTTGTTCCAGTACTAAGGTTTGAACTAAGGGTCTGGATGCCATCCCTTAGCTTTTTTTTGCTGAAGGCTGGAACTCTGCCACTTGAGCCACAGCTCCACTTTCTGGTTTTTTTTTTTTTTTTTTTTTTTGCTGATTAATTGGAGATAAAAGTTTCATAGACTTTCTGTCCTGCCTGGCTTAGGACCAGAATCCTAAGATCTCAGTTTCCTGAGTAGCTAGGATTACAGGCATGAGCCACCAGGGCCTGGCTCCTTCCATATTCTTCATGATTTTTTTTCACATAAACTGCAAAGTAGGAAGAATTTTAACATTTCATTGCATGTGCCTTATTATATATCTATTCATTTATCTACCTCTCCTCATCTATTATTTTTCATTTTTCATTTTCTTCTTCATTTTTCTTTTCAGACAGGATCTCAATACATAGCCCAGGCTAAGCTAGAACTCACAGTCCTCCTGGCACAGCCTCCCAAGTGCTGAAATTATAGATGTGCACTACCGTGCCTGGTTAACCAATCCATTTTTAAATGCATTTCAACATTCATGGCAACATCAGCACTCTTCCATCTAACTACTCAGATTTTAAAATCTAAGTAGTTAAAACCTAATGGTTTAAAACCTGTTTGATTTTTAATTAATTAATTTTTGTGCAAGTAGTAGGCCTTGAACTCACAGCTCACACTTACCCTTAGCTGTTTTGTTCAGAGCTGACTTTTTTTCCTCAGTCATGGGGCTTGAACTCAAGGTCTGAGCACTGTCTCTGAGTTCTTTTGCTCAAGCCGAGGGCTGGACCACTTTGAGCCACAGTGCTACTTCTGATTTTCTGGTGGTTAATTGGAGAAAGAGTCTCACAGATTTTCCTGCTGTGGCTGGCTTTGAACTGTGATCCTTGGATCTCAGCCTCCTGAATAGTTAGGATGACAGTCATAAGCCACCAGCTCTTGGCTAATGCTGACACTCTTGAGCCAGCTCACCACTTCAGACACACTTCTATTTCTGATTTTGTTTAATTGTTGTTAGAGATTTTTTTGTTTTCCTTTTCCTTTCCCTTTTTCTTTTCTCTTCCTTCCTTTCTTCCTTCCTTCCTTCCTTTCTTTCTTTCTTCCTTCCTTCTTTCCTTCCTTCCTTCCTTCCTTTCTTCCTTTCTTCCTTTCCTTTCTTTCTGTCCTTTTGGGGCGGGCTGGCTAATTATAGATAAGAGTCTCTCAGATTTATCTGCCCAGGTTAGCTTTGAACCTTGATCTTCACATCTCAGGCTCCTGAGTAGCTAGAATTACAGGCATGAGTCACCAGTGCTTGGCTTAAAACATTTTAAATAAATATTTGAATGGAACTAGACACACACTTGTACTCTTAGCTATCAGGAGGCTGGAGCAGGGGGATAGCAAGTTTTAGGCTAGTCTGGGCTTTATAATGAGACCTTGACTCAAAAGTGACAACAACAAGAAGAAAAACCAACCAAAGACCTGATTGAGTCCCTGGTATTGGAGGAGTACCTTGGACAGCTCCAGCCACACCCACCCCCACAGAAGGTGATCCTAGCAAGTCATACATGTGCTGTGCCCTAAGACTCTTAGCTCCACATTCTGGTTTGCATAATAAAATTACTCTAGGAACCAGATTTAGCTAGTGACAAGCTCCATCTTGGGTACATGCTGTGGACACAGACATTCTTGCCAAGGAATCCCTTAATGAGTGGTTGCCTTGAACTCTGCTTCTATATCCAGTTCTCTGTCTCTCTGCCTCCACCTCTGTCTCTGTCTCTCTGTCTCTGTCTCTGACTCTGTCACGACTCCCCCCTTCATTGTCTTTCTGTGCCTCTCCCCACTACCTATTCTCATATGGTCCTTCTTTTAACTATTCTAACAAACTCCTCTGATGTCCTTTACAGCTCTTCGGCTTTATCAACTTCTTCCTGTGGGCTGGGAACTGTTGGTTTGTGTTCAAGGAGACCCCATGGCATGGACAGGGCCAGGACCAGGGCCAGGGCACCAGCCAGGAGAGCACAGCTGAGCAGGGAGCAGTGGAGAAGCAGTAATCAGCCCCCACCTGGCTATTCCCGGAATGGACAGCACCTCTTCAACACCTCCGGCTTCCAGGACCTCCCTCTTCTCTTCCAACTCCCTTTCCCCATCATTCTGGGCTTTGATCTTTGAGATGACGAATGGACAGCCATTTGCTGTCAGAAACCTGGGCGCCCCTACCACTGGCTTCCTGTCCTCTTCCTGCTAGAACCCCTGAAGACAAGAGTTCAGTGCTTCTTGTCTAAAGCCAAAACCAGACATGTTATTGGAGTCTTACCTGTATCTTTCTAGCCTCTGGGAACCAGCCTAGGTTGCAAGCCAGGACTAGGGGAAAGACACCAGAGCTCTGAGACTGGTCCCTAGTAACCACCTTTCTATCACCTGTTCAGCCTCAATGTTGTAGGGGTTAAGGAGCAAGCTGGCAGTCTTGCTCCTATCCCTGCATGGAGGGCCCAACTGTGACTTGGTGACAGCCCTTAATGGCTGTCATCTAGTCTCTGTGTCTGATCTCTAGCCTGCCCAGAGCATAGTGTGTTTCCCATTCTCATCTCTGGCCCCTTGCTTTTCTACAGCACTTGTCACTTGGGAACTAGGAGGTCTGTCAGCCTAGAAAAGGGCCTAAGGAGGGTCCTTATGAGGCCTGACCTCAGTGGGAGCAGTTAAACTGCAACTGAGTTGCAACTTCAAGGAAGAAACCAAGGAAAGTTACTGGCAGAATCCTTTGTCTATCTCCTTTCATTCTTCCATCCACCAGGCACTCTAAAATCTAGAAACTTCTTACCTTCTTCCATGCCCTTTTTGAGTTTGGTCTCATCTCACACTTAAGATACAAGATGAGAGGCTAGAATAGCATCTCAAGATCTCCTCACCTTACCTCTCAGCTCATCTCCCTACCCCAGCCTCTGGGGTCTGAGGCTTTGAAGACTGCCCAGGCCTTCTTTTCATTCCCGTGGGGCCAGTGAAGGGCTTTGACAGGGTCCAAAAGACCATCATGAGGCTGATTTGTCCCAGAGCCCTGGGACATGGATGGATGGGCCATTTCTCCCTTATTCTCTCTCCCCCCCCCTCCCCAGTACCTTCTCTAGTCCTTCTTTTTTCTTTTCCCTTTCCACCTTCACAATGCCCTCTCCCTGGTCTTCCCATCCTCTCCTTGCTTCCTATTTTTGCCAGGCTCCATATCCTCCTCAGTCCAGGGCAGGCCGATGCTATTGGTGCTTCTTCACTTCGGGACCCAGTTCCATATTTGTCTTTGTCTGACACCTCCTTCAGTTCCTCTCTGGGCCCCAGGGCCTGAGAGTGCCAACTGGGTAAGGGCCACCTGCCTCCTACCTGGCCTCTTCCCTGACATAGTGCTGCTCAGGGAAGCATGAAGAGGGAAGAAATCTATCCATTTTTCTCTAATCCATTTATCATCCCAAAGGTGAATGTGTCCTGTACCAGTTTCTCCTCAGGACTTAGTCAGTCCCTTCCACCTCCTCCCCTCCTCCCTCTACCATTCATAGTAACATGTGCATTACTTAGGTACTTAAGGCTTAAGACCTCTGATTGAGGGCCACTCATTTCTTTTTTGGGTCAGAATTTCCCCCACATGACAGGGGAAGTGTGAGGTTTATAACCCTAGATGTTCTGGGGGGTCCTTCAGTAAACGAATTAGGTTATTCTTTTCATTGTTGGTTTTATTTTCCTTTTTTAGATTTTTGGGAAGGGATTTGAGGAGGGACGAAATGAGATGAAGGTGAAAATCTTCCTAAGCCTGAAACTCTCTGTCCTGAGTTGTCCCATGGTTACTCAAGGAAAGGGGGGAAGGTAGACAATTTTGCCTACAGCTCCAGAGACACAAAGAACAAAGGGGTGACCTTCATTTTTCTTCAAGCTGGCCCTTGTGGGGGGGACTGTGAGCAGCTTCTACTGGAACTTTGTTTGGATTCTGTGTTTGTATTTATAATTTAACAGATATGTAATAGATAAAGCAGTCTCATTTGGGGACTGAACTTAGAAACTGGCCTTTCCATTAGGAAAGGAGGGGTGTTATTCATTTTTGCCAAGAAGTCCTAGCTCAGAGCTTTACCCTAGGCAGGAAGGCTCTTTCTTGTGCTCAAGAGGCTGGCTGGTTTTCAGATTGTAGATCCTTGATTTGGGTTATGGTCACTCTCACCATGGCCATCCTAAGAAAGGCCATTTCACCTCACTGCCTCCAGAGGGCTGAGCTAGGCCAAGTGCCAAGGGAAAGGCTGTCCTTACAGAACTGGAGTCTCCTTCCAACCAGGGCTGACATCACTGCTTTGCCTAGTTGAATCCAATGTAGGAGGTATCTGATTTCTCCAGCTGCTATAGGAGGCCAATAGACAGGGCACTTGCCCTTTGCCCTGGTAGACTCTGACCCTGCCCACCTAGGATCTTTCCTAGATATGAGCCCACCAACATCATGGTCATGGGTCTCCTACTTCTGGGATTGCAGATCGGGGTGGGGGGAGAATGTTGCATGTTGTTTTCTGGTGCTTCATTATACATTTGAATAAACAGTGCTTCAAGCATTTGCCATGAAGGAGCCAAGACTGGAGCCCTCCTGGGGATTTTTTTTTCTTCCTCTTCCTTGCTTTAAGACCTTGGATAAAAATCAGCATTTCTACTAAGACCTCATTCCACTCCTCTCTACTCTGCAGCCTAAGCAATAGAGTCTGCTGGCTGAGTAGTTGTTCCTGGCAGGCCCCAGTCTGGTGACATTGTCTCTTTTTGTGGCACTCCATTTGTCCAAAGTAACTGAAACTCATTAGCAAATTTGGAGCAAACTCAAAGGGGGAGAAATAGTGAATCCCACAATGCTGTTTCCCTTTGCTTTCCTACCATCTGTGACCCAAACAAGCTTCCTATCAGGAATCTGAGGGCCATATGCTTCGTTCTCTAGCATATACAGATTGTGTGTGTGTGTGTGTGTGTGTGTGTGTGTGTGTGCGTGCACACGCGTGCGCACACGTGCGCGTGCTCTGGTATAGGGATTTGAACTCAGGGCCTGGAAGCTATCCTTTAGCTTTTTCACTCCTGGCTATTACTCTACCACTTGAGCTACAGCTCCATTTCTGGCTTTCTGATGGTTAATTGGAGATAATTAATGGGCTTTCCTGTCCAGGTTGTCTTTGAACTTCTGATCCTCAGATGTCAGTCTCCTGAGTAGCTAGGATTAGAGGTGTAAACCCCCTGCACACGCGCTCGCACGCATGCGCGCGCGCACACACACACACACACACACACACACACACACACAGGCTTACTATAAGGTTCTTGCTGAACAAACCTTCAGACAGGCAGTCACATTCTGCATTTATAGTCTCTAGAAAAATGCACTTGGGCATAGTTTCACAGTCAATGTTACCAGGTTCCTGGACCTCATTTATGGGTCTTAGGTTAAGAATCTCTTCTCTCAGATATTATCTTCAAAGTATTTAAAATTTCCCTGAATGAAAAGAAGAAGTCTGAGATCTTAATGTCATAGAATTTGACTTTTGCTCTCAAATTTGGTTTCCTTTCAGCTAAATAAATGTGATATGGGGTAAGATTGTGAGAAGTTGAGGAGGGGAAATAAAAAGGATTACTATTTCTTGTCTGATCAAATGATGAAGAGGCAGAGACAGACTTTAGTCTTTTTTGGGGGGGGTAGGAAGAAATGTTATCAGCTGAATAAAAAAAAAGAGGTATGTGATTAAGGTGGTACATTCTGGGCCTTAGCAAGGAAAATGACAGATCTGATGAGAAACCTTCCTATAGCAAGTCTTTAGTACCAGCTCTTCCAGCGGCGAAAAATACTCATTAGAAAAGGAAGCCAAAATGATGGATGGAGTCAGGGTCTAGCCAGGGTTTGGGAAGAGACAGTGCAGGGTATCGATCGCACTTCTCAGGAGGATCGGCAGACCCGAGCTAACACCAGCAGCCTCGGGGCCACCCTAGTTCCGGCGCTGACTCTGAACCCGAGAGCCTTCTGTCATCCTGACAGGTGATCTTGGTCAGGGCAGCCAGATCCTCCCAAACCCAGACAACGGCACTTGAGCCCTCTGTTCTGCATTAGGGCAGCGTGGGTTTCCCAAAGAGGGAGGAAGGACTCAGGAACCCGGGCCCTCCCCCACTTCAACCCCCATGTCCTTCAGCACAGCCTAGACTCCCTCCCTTTGCCCTTCTGATTCACTGCGCCCACCTCCCTGCACCTACCCTATTCGATCTACAGGGGAGCAGAGTCGCTCCCTGGCCGCCAGCCGGGGAACTGGCGCCAGCCAGCTGGCAGACGCACGGCTTCAAGAGGGGCATCTTGGGCAGAGAGAGGTTTGGGGCTGGGGTGTGTGTGTGTGTGTGTGTGTGTGTGTGTGTGTGTGTGTGTGTGTGCGCGCGCGCGGGTGCACACTGGGGAGAGGGGACTGGTGCCACAAAGAAATGTGTGCACAAAGGTTAGGAGTGGAGATCCTGGGGCTTTGGTCTCCTCCTTTTCCCCTGCAATTGTGCATTTCCGAAGGGCTCTCTCGGGAAACTCGGTAGGCGACAGCACCCCTTCCGAAACTACATTTCCCAGAAAGCTATGCGGAAGGAGGAGGTGGGGGCCAGCGACCTGAGCTGCGCTTGCGCACAGGGTGAGCTGGAAAGGTAGGGGAGAAGGAGGCGTGCCCGCGGCCGGGCCGAGGGGGGGAGGGGGCCGCGCGGCGGCGGCGCCGGGGCGGGCGCGCGTCCGCGGCGGTGATGGCGGTGCGTGAACGCGCGGCGGCAGCAATGGCCGCTCTGGAGCGGCGGGTGCCGAGTCTCGATGACTTCGCGGGACAGAGCTGGAGCTCGTGGGTGGAGCGGGCCGACCTGCCTGCGGCCGACGGTGAGTACAGCCACCTTAGAGTCCGAGGACCCCATCACTGCCTCCCCTCCCCCCCTCCCGGCCCCCACCAGCTGAGGGGAGCCGCCGACAGGAGCCGCCGTCCGGCTCCCCGGCCCCCCAAACAAAGGACCCGCCGGGTCCTAGTGCCCGCCCTCTCCGACACCTTTGCGCCGCCGGGTCCTAGCGCCGGCCCACCGCTTGCAGCCCACCCTGCCCACCCCTCTCCTCTGTCTGTCTGTCTCTCTCTGCCAGAGCCAGTACCGGCCCCACGTTTACTTGCCTTTATCTTTTCCCTTAAATGATGGTCTCCAGTTTCCGCCCCTCCTGCACCTGCTCGGGCTCTTCCTATCCGCAACAGTCCTCTCCACGTGTTTCCCACGCACCCCACTTCTCTGCCCCCCTCAGCACCCCCCATGTGTCTTCGCCTTTTGCCCCCCCCCCCACACCTCCAGCGCCTTTTTAGCGTTTTCCTACCGGTTACAGTGCTCATGGAACTCTAGCCCCCTCCGCATGAGTTTTCCCATCCATCTCTCCATCCTCCTCCTTGCCTTTCCTCCTTCAGTCCATCCATCCATGCCTCCCACCCTCGTCCTTCCCCGGGCTTCTTGCCCTACCTCTTGGCTCTTTTCCCTGACCCCCCACTTTCTATAGGTCCCCGAGTGCCTTTGGTGAGTGGGCCTCCAGTCTCTTTTTCTCATCTTTGTCTCCTGGGTCCCAGGAAACACCTGGCCTCATGGCCTTTGGGGGTGACAGCAGGCATCACACCCCTAAAGAAGTTTACAAGTGAGAAGAGATGGAGTAGGAGACCTCATGGAGCGGTCTCTAATGACACTTGTTCTTTGAGACATCTGACTTTCAGCTTGATTCTGTCCATCATTCCCCATAATTGCATTGAACAGACTTCAGAGTGGGAGCTGCCCCTTGTCTCTTGCCTGTCCAACTCACCATGCCTCATATCTGGATATTATATAAGATTGCCAATAATCATCTCACCTCAAAGGGGGCTAATCTGTGAGTGAGCATGTGAGAGCAAATCTAAGTGGGAGCATAGGCCACTCTGGGACTGTCCTGTGCTGGGTGGGCACGGATGGGGCCATTGTCAGGGTCTGGGTGAATTAAGAACCGGAAATGGAGTCAGACTGGTTCAGTGACTCAGAATTGATTTTTTTCCAAGGGACAGGGAGGAGGTGTGTGTTGGGGTGGGGGGGAGGGGGAGTTAGATAGGAGGATGGAGGAAGCTGCTTTGCATAGCTAAAATGTTTTTGTCATTAACCCAGAAACTGAAGTAGGAAAGCAACCCTTTGGCAGAGCCCCTCTAAGAAGGGGAGGGGGTTGCCTAGCTGACCAAGGAGACTTTGGAGATGTCAAAGGGCCCAAACCCAGCAGTTTCTCTGCTCTGTGACCATCCAATCAGTGCAGGAGCTGAGAAAACTGAGTATAACTTTGATAATGTTATGATATCTCAGGTAGACCTAAAGTAATTTATGAAGAGGGGGACATAGGACAGCAAATTTTGGAGATGCTACAGAATAGCCAAAAAGACCTGTGGTAGAAATCTCAAGAAGTGATTCAGAGTCCTGCAGAAAAGGAAAAAAAAAAAAAAAATCAGAACCATTTCCCTTTAAATGGGAAAGCTAATCCAGAAAAGGGATGATATTTACCCACATCACCCAACTAGTCAGCAGTTAGAGCCTTAAACTACACTAAGGAGTGGAGGGGTCCATAAGAAAGATGGCTGGATTCTCCTTAAATGAGACCAGTTCGTCTCAGAAGAGTGGGAGAAGGGTGGGCACTTGAGAATGAGCCACTGGGGATTCTGAGCACCAGGGGCTTGTCAGGGGGTGTGGGCTTCTCAGTGCTGAGCTGTGGCCCTTCTTCCACTAGGAGGTGGGGCTGTAGGAAGAGAGTGGACCTTCTGAGCTGTGTTTTTCCTCCAGGGGCTGAGCTGGAAGACAGTAGCAAAAACATGAAGAAGTTGGATGCTATGACCCTCATTAAAGAAGGTGGGACTCAATGCACATAGGGCTGGGACCCAGGGCAAACAGGGCCACTTTCCCCTCTTCTACCAGGAGGTGGCTGTTGAAGCAATAGGGCTGAAGATCCTCATTTTGATAGGACTGAGTTAGCCCTGCCTGCTGTGACCTGTTGGTGGAGATCGTAATCATAGGTGATTGGCGCCCACTCATGTCAAAGCCCTGTATACTTCAGGCCTGGTTAGACTGAACTGTGGAGGCTGGGAATGTCCAGCAGAAAGCTTGACACATCAGTTGGGAGGTGAAGCACCTTCTGGGTGGTGGGGTGGTAGTGTTCTCTGATCTTACAGGGAAACCCTGTGCTCCAGCCCCAGTGATAAAGAGTTTCTGTCATTGCAGATATGTCCATATTTGGGCACTGCCCTGCCCATGATGACTTCTATTTGGTTGTGTGTAACCACTGCAGCCAGGTGGTGAAGCCTCAAGCTTTCCAGAAGCACTGTGGTGAGAGAAGCCCTAGGGAAGAAAGATGAAGGGTGAGGGGAGGGGGAATATGGAACTCTTAGGACAGCTAGGACTTCACATGGGTAATGGAGGGTGGTTCTAGGGATAGGAAAGTCCTGGGGGGGGGGGGGAGTTTCAGGATATTGTGGGGTTTGAAGTTATTGCATGTGCAAACTTCCAGCATCCAGGGGGGTGGTAAGAGATTCAGGAAGCTGGGTCTAGAATTTTGAGTCCTGAAGGCTCAATTTGGAAATGGAAGAAAGCAAATTCACAATCTAAGCTGTAGTAATGCAGATTCTTGTGATATGAGGCAGTGGGCTGGTTGGCGGTCAGGGAATGAGGTAGTTGATACCACTCACCTCGATTATTCTCTCCACCTCCTGGTAACAGAAAGAAGACATGGGCCCCTCAGCAAGCTTTATGCCCGGGTCCCACCCCCACCTCCAGCCCCTGCCAGCTCTCAGAAATGCCATGTAGTGAATGGGCAGGGCCCAGCTTGTAGAGCCCCAGGTTCCACCAAAACCTCCTCCAGGGAGAAGGGCCAGGGGTCCCGGAGCCGTGGCCATCAGCCTCCAGAGAAGACCCAGAAGGACAACCTCTGGTAAGTCTATACACTCCCCAAGACCGACCCTGACCCTGACCCGGGGAGAGGTTGACACAAATGGAGGCAGCCCTGGGTCAAGGGGTACTGCTCATTGCAGAAGGCAGCAAACCCATGTGCAGCTCCTTTCCACAGACTCAAGGGCTCGTGAGTGCCTCTTTCCCCAGGTACCACACCCCTCCTGGAGCCCACCCAAGATCCAGGGCCAGGGAGGAGATAGCTCTAGGCCAGAGTTCGGCACCCAGACCCAGCCTCCCGCACCCCAGCCCATACCCTCTCTCCACGTGTAGCCTTTTCGTGCCTGTGGTGAATCTGGAGAAGATGTCCAGTCTCCCGAAGCCCGATGGACATGGAATCAGGGTGGCCCCACCCTCTGCTTTCCTCAGCCAGCCAGGCGGCCTCCCCAAGGACTCCCCTGGAAAAGCCCCCATGGCTCTCCCTTCTAAAGAACCTCCTGGCAGAGAGAGCAGTGAGATAATCCCCAGTGAGGGTTCCAGCCACCGGGCCGAAAGCAGCCCCCCGGAGAAGGAGCCCAGTGGGACCAGGCTGCCCCCCAAAACCCACCGGAAGATGGCTCGTGAGTAGTCATGGTCCTGGGAGTCAGGAAGGTAGAGTGGGGGACTCCTTGGGCTGCTCTGTCCTTGGGCAAGAAGGGTTGGAGGTCAGGAATAGATGGGCCTGGCCATCCTAGCTTGCAGAGTACAGGAACTCTACAATCTACCTGCTCCCTGGAAGCTTCTGTAGCTCAGGTCTCCTGAGTTGGGCTGAGGGAGCTTCTGCCCAAGCAAGCACAATTACTCTTCCCCTCCTTGGACAATTGACTGTTAGCCCTTTCTCACGTCTCACAGCTGGTTTTTCTGGCATTCCAGATGCCTGCGGCTGCCTTTGCTTCTTTGGGCCTACAGTCTCTGGGAGGAATGCTGGGGCTGGGGACAGGGAAAGTCCATCCTCAAGAGAAGAGTTACTCTGGAAAGTGAGGCCCCAGAGGAACCTGTCTATCTTTGTCCTGATTCTTCCCAGGCCCTTCATAGGAAGAGGCCAGATCCTCCTATGAATCCATGAGAAGTAGCCTTCTGGTTCACTGAAACATCTTTACCCAACAGGGAAGGAGTGTGACCTCAACAGGCAGTGCGGAGTCATAAATCCAGAGACCAAAAAGATCTGTACACGCCTGCTGACCTGCAAGGTAGCCCCATTCCCACGGCATGGTGAGGGGAAACAACGCAGACATGAGACACGGGCGAGCAGAGGAATGTAGAAATAACTAAAGGCCCAGCTGAGGGGATGGGTTAGGTTCACACCAGGGAAGGGAAGAGGAGCCTATCCCCCGCACCTCACCCCAGTGGGCACAAGGTAGGATCAGCAGGCAGGGAGTAGCTTTCAGACCCCCCCACCCCCATGCCAAAGGAAGGTGTTAGCCCTATGGGGGAGTAAAACAAAAGACACACAAACACACCCACAAACACACTCACACGCGTCCTCTCTCTCCACTTGCCCAGGCCAGAGCACACCGCTGCCCCTCACCCCTGCTCAGCTCACAACCCTTCCCACCCTTCCACTCTGCTATATTCTAGATCCACTCGGTGCACCAGCGCCGAGAGGTCCAGGGCCGGTCCAAGGATTTTGACGTGCTAGTGGCAGAGCTGAAGGCCAATTCCCGCAAAGGGGAATGTCCCAAGGAGAAGAGCCCAGGGCGCAAGGAGGCGGCGCCCTCCCAGGAACCTCCTTCCTCAATCCAGGTTGTGGCAGCAGCAGCCGCACCTAGCAGCACCTTTTCTGCTCGTGCCAAGCAGACCTACCCATACTGTGCATTTCCCAGGTATGTCCAGATTATATCCCCCCCCACTTCACCTGGGTATATTCAGCCCCTAAGGTACCAGGGAACGTTGGAGACAGGCCCAGGGGATGTCCTGGAAAACGTGCTCACTGGGACCTGAGTGGGTGTGGGGCGGGGGAGGGTGATACCTGGACCTTGCAGTGGTTTGGAAGCAGGCGACTCTCTATTCCTCCCCAAGCAGACCACAATATCCTAGCCTCTCTTGAGGTGTGCCAGATCCAATACAAACATTTTCCCAGCTACTTCCAACAAGCCAAAACTTGTCACTGGGGAGCTGAAAGGGTCAGGGTCCTGGGTGAGGCAGTTGTACTGTGTATTCATTCGCTGGCCCCTTCGTGTGCAGAGGCTGCGCTGGATCCCGGGGAGAGCCTGCCTTGCTGAAGGAGACACACACGCATCTCTGCCTGTAACACCAGGGGCAGACACGAAACACAGGCTCAGCTCCCAGACAGGCTCACAGGAATATGTGATGCAAGAAGGGGGTTGAGAGAGTTGACTGGGCTGACCAGAGCTGGGTGCAGTTAAGCTCGGAAGATTTTCTGGAGGAGGCGAGAATCTGGAGCAGATTTTTCCCCCTGAGGAGGCAGGGCCTGGGAAGTGAAGGGGCTTGGGAGAGAACACCTTGGGAGCTATGGCCCTGGGCTCTGTCTCTTACTCTGTGAGCTCTGTCGTGCCCTCCCATCCTTTCCTCCTTCCTCTTCCTCTGATTGCCCAGCAGAGTGTTTGCCCTGGCTTTTTAAGCTTGGCGGGTTCAGGGACACCCCATCCCGATCCCATACCAGTCACATCATCCTTACATCCTCTTTGGCCCTTCTAGGTCCCGGGCCTCTTCTGAGAGTGAATTGGATGAAGAAGGCCCCTATGGTGGTGATGGGGACCCAGGTCTGTTTCCTTTCCCCCTACCCCGGGGTGGGGCCCAGGCCTCCAGCGAGGAAAGTGAGGAGGAGGGGACATCCGAGGACCTTCACCTCCCTCCTGACTGCCATTATGCAACCCGGCCTCCACGCCCACAGGCGGTAAGGACCTGGCCAGGATCCTGGGGTGGAGGTGGTGTGCGGTGGGGTGGGGTGGGGGTCCCGGTCCTTCTAGGCCACAGTATGGGGAAGAGGTCAGATCTTATGTGCAGATGCTCTGTATACTGCAGGCCCCACCAACCACATTCTTCCCTTCTGCTTCCAGTTCTGCACCTTTGGGAGCCGGCTAGTGAGCCCAGGATGCTATGTGTTTAGCCGCCGGCTGGACCGGTTCTGCTCGGCACTCAGCTCTATGCTGGAGCGGCACCTCAGTTCACACATGTGGAAGTGAGTCTCTTGGGCCCAGAACTTCCTTTCTCAGACCTGGGTGTACATAGGCTTCAGAAGCTCCAATTCCTCACACATACCTACTGGTGTGCCTTGGCTAACTGGTCACTAGACCCCAGATGATAAGTGGCATAAGGGAGTGGGGACTTGGAACCCTAGAGAAGGACAGTGGGAGGTGTAGGGGTGAGTCTAGACAGTCGTCTATCATTTTCAATACTTGGGGTAATGTGGGATAAGGGATACCCACTGAAAATGAGGTTACTCCTACTCATTCTGTACTAGTTCATTCCTTCCTCTACCTGTGCCTTCCTCAGCCCTCAGTTCCAGTGTCTGCCAGCAGATGGCAGCAACTGTGGCGTTCCACTGGCCATTTCCCAGTGGGTAGAAGGATTGAGTGTTGGGAGGCTTTCTTGTTTGGTTGGCAGTCACAGTGGGACTCTCTTTTTGCTATAGGAAGATCCCACCAGCTGAACCTCCATCGCACCTTGTCAGTTCCTCCTTATCTGCTCCCCTGAGCCCACCCACTATGGGCAGCTGCCCCCGACTTCCAGGCCCACCCCCCAGACCTGCCTGCCCAGCCTCTACGCCTCCCATCAAGGACAGCCTGGTCCCTAGCTACCCTGCAGGCTCTCCTAGTGTAGCAGCTGCCTGCAGCCAGGCTGAGTGCATGGGCGGCACCCAGGCCATCACCTCACCTCTACCCGCCAACACACCATCTCCATCCTTCAGCAAGCTGCCACCTTCCAAGGCCAGCAAGTTGTCCAAAGGCAAGGATGGGGCAGAGGTGGAGGCTCCTTCTCGAAAGCGGAAGTTATCCCCAGGCCCTACCACTTTCAAACGGACTTGCATTCTGGAACCCACTGGAAAAGGCAAACCCTCTGGCTGCCGGGGTCTCTCAGCCAAGACTAAAACAGCTCTGAGCATGGGGCTTAATGGGACAGTGGGGCCAAGGGTAAAGAGAACAGGGCCCCTGGACTGTCGGGGTTCCCCACATCCACCTCCCACACCGGTCAAGGCTCAGCTGGAGAACCGGGATGTCGTCAGTCACCCAGCCAAGGCCTTGCCAACCAACTGCCTCTCTGAGGAGGAAGTAGCCAAGAAGAGGAAAAATCTGGCCACTTACTGCCGGCCAGTGAAGGCCAAGCATTGTCAGGCTGGTGTCCCTGCTGATACAGCCTGCTCTATGCGCCGCAAGAAGCCAGGCCCAGCCCTGGCCTTTGAGGAGAAGTGCTCTACACTGAAGGTACCTGCCCAGCTCCCTGCGGTGCATGGGCAGAGAGGGGTCAGGAGGGCTGACTGTGAGAACACAGTAGGTACTTGACATGGAGAAAGTGCTAAGTAGAGGATTGAAAAATGGGGAAAGAGTCTTTGGGCTATCCTCTTTAGGAAACCATAGATTAGCTCTTAGCATGGTGACTCCAGTTTTTACCTGATTGGATCTTTTCCCCTTGCCCTTGTTTTGGACTTAATCAAAGGACCACTTCTTTCTGAATTGGCTATGGCCCTCACCCCAGGACCTAGAACTACTTCCAACATCCAACAGGAAGGAAGTTTGAGTCTCTGACCTGTAGCTCAACATACTGAGCAACTGATTCTGTTCCTTGGTGGCTCTTCTGGGCATCGGGGCATTGAAGAGCAGATGGACAAGACAAGGCCCACTTAGGCATGTGTATACCCCTTACACATGTGCCCTGCTCCAGCTTCTCAGTAGGTTCAAGTGGCAGAGGTTTTCTAGTGAAATCTGCAGCCAGGTTTGTCTTTTCTGTTGGAGCCTGCTTTGAGCTATCCATATGATCTCTGCCAAGAGGGACTGCTGGGAGATGTGGTGTTGGGGGTGGGGAATGTGCTCCCAGTCTAAACATGGGCCAGGTGCATGTGTGCATTTACACGTTTTCTAGCTTCACTACATAGGCTGCCCCAGTTGGCATTCGTCTTCCCCTTGCTCAGTTTTATTTATCAGACCCACCACAGGAAATAAAGGTTTAGTCCTATAGTCTACATAGGTACTGAGTAGGATGACCCTCACCCTGACCCTGTCTCTTGTCTCTTTGTCTTCCTGCAGTCAAAAGCCCATTAACAAGAAAGTGCCTGTCCATTGCAACGGAGCCGCCAACACCTCCTCCCCTCCAGACCAGGCCCCAGGCTGCTGCCACTTTTTATAACTTTATATTATTTTTTTTAAGAAAAAAAAAACTCTCTTTAAAATACCTCAAGACTGTCTCCTTGTTCTGTTGGTACTAAGAAAACACTGAAAAGGAAGAAAAACAATGTAGCAAAATGAGGGTCCTTAGTTTGCCTAATCTCACCCTTGGAAGCTGAGATGACAGGCAGCCTGGAGGGGGGTGGGGAATGTTCTCTCCCCACAGGATGATGAGGCATGTGACTGTGAATATAAGCCTCCCCTAGAATGTTAACCCCAAGATACTATTCTGGCCCCATTGAGAAGAGAAACTGGACAGAGAAGAGGGAGCTGCACTCCTGACTTTGCAGTTGGGTCTTTGAGAGTTGGTTTCTGACCCTTTTCTGGTCTTCCAGCAATCGTGGGTCTCCACCCCTCTTTAGATCTTCTCAGCTTTTGTTTGTGCCCTTCCCACCTCTTACCAGCAACCTTCTTTTCTCAACCATGTAGCTTGATCTCGGTTGGTTAATACTCTCAAGATGTCCCGGATTTCTGTAGAGCTTGTTTTGGTCTTTCTTCCTGCACTATGGGTTTGCTCTTTAGGATGGAGTAGAACCTCTCCCAGGTAGGACTCCATAGGTTGGCCTACACTTTTTTGGAGGCAAGAGGGGGGAAAGGCTGCAGAATTTGGGGCATGTAAGGCCCTGATTCCTCAGGATTATACCTTGCTCCTCAGGGCTAAGCAGCTGTTGTGGAGGTGGCAAGGGTTGGGAGTGCTCTAGTTCTTCCAAGTATCTCACTGGAGACCATTCTTGCTCTGGGTATGAGACTTGCAGCTCCCTCCTTCAGTCTTCAAACCAGAATTCACTTTACAAAGAACTATATTTTGTCCTTTCCTGTTGTTTTTCCTTGGCATTAAGGTAGGGAGAAATCTTGCTCCATAACAAGCAGAAGAGGAAATAGAAAAAGTAAGCAGCCTGGGAACACCAGTACTTCTGGAAAGCTGCTTAACATACTCGAGTCAGGGCACCAAGTGTGTGATTTGGGGTTCACTGGAATCGGTAACCACAGATGTAATTTCCACAGGCTGCTTGACGTAGAGCTCCTGGTATACAGATACAAAAGAAGGTGGACTGGGATCTCTCCCGTGGGTAGATCAGGGTGTGGGGGACTCCCCCTGCCCCTCCCCCGGGCCGACATACTTTCCCCCCCAGCCCCCAGAGGGCGCTGTGAGTGCCTCGGCGGCGCTGCCGGCGGCTTCCCCGGGGAGGAGCCACTCCTGACAGCCGCCGCCGCCGCCGCCGCCGCGACCGCAAACCCGGAAGACGCCTCTAGCAGCTGGACTGTGCGGGCTGGCCCGGCGCAGCCATGCAGCCGCTGGAGGTAGATCTGGTTCCAGCACCAGCTAGGGAGCCGAGACTGACCCGCTGGCTGCGAAGAGGCAGCGGGATCTTGGCGCACCTGGTGGCTTTGGGCTTCACCATCTTTCTGACTGTTCTGTCCCGGCCAGGAACCAGTGAGTGCGCGGGGCGGGGCCAGGGAAGGGGGCGGAGCCGAGGTGCGGAGGGGCCGCGGCTGGGTGCGCCGCGAGCCGTGGAATGCGACCCCAGCCAGGGAGGGGCCCGGATGGAGAGGCTGAGGGCCTGTGGGCGGGGCTCGGGGGTCCTGGATGGGTGGGACTGTGGGTACGGGAAGGAGTTGGGGGCAAAGACTGGCTACTGAAAAGACTGAGCTAGTGCTTCATAAAACACAAGGCTCCTGTTGGAGGATAGTAGGGAAGGAAAGTGATTGAGGTCTACACTAGGACTGGGCTGGTAGCCAAGAAGTGCCAGTTGGGGAAAGCCAACCCAAGTGGAGGTGTGTGTACTGGGAGGCACTCTTGGTTGCCTTAGCCCCTTGGCAGCTCCCTTTTGCCCAAATTTCCTGGTTGTTATTGTTTAGTATTTTTATTTTTTTTTTAATTTATTTATCTGTCCTGGGTCTTGAACTTCGGGCCTGGGTGCTCTCCCTGAGCTTCTTTTGCTCAAGGCTACCGCTCTACCACTTCCGGTGTCTTCTAAGTATTGAAGAGTGTCAGGGACTTTCCTGCCTGGGCTGGCTTTGAACCGTGATCTTCAGATCTCAGACTCTTGAGTAGCTAGAATTACAGGTGTGGGCCACCGGCGCCCCGTTTTCCTGATTTTTTTTTTTTTTTAAGTTAGGATTGGGGTTGGTATGCTGAATTTTCCCCTGTGGCCAGATTCTTTAAACTTCACCTAGCCATGGAAGTGGGAGTGGGGGAGTAAAACAATGGTGCCCAGCAATCAGCCTGTTCTCTTTGATTCTCAGGTCTTTTCTCTTGGCACCCCGTATTCATGGCCTTGGCGGTGAGTTTGGACTTCTACCTGCAACCGATTTGTTCGGTTATGCTTAGCTTCTCCACCGGGGAAGAATCCTGTTTTCAGGAAGCTCAGCCTTTCTATGGCTTAGAGAGGTGCGAGAGACAGCTAGGGTCCCATCTTTCAAGAATTGGGGAAAATGAAGGGTTGAGAGGGTAGGGGGATGTGGAACTTATTTCTCCACAGGTGTCTATAAGAAGCTGTGGAAGGGGTGTTATTAAGTCATTTCCCTCACAATTCAGGAAGAAGTTTAACATCTGCAGTTTTACTGGTCAAGAAATGGCCTGTGTGTAAGGCAGGTCCAGTTAGAAGTCCTTTAGCCTTCACCCTTTATCTTCTTTGGTTAGATGTATAATAATACCTCCTTTTTTCTCAGGCCTCCAAACAGACCTGAGGCTCACTAGCCCTCTCCTGTATTCACAGTTCTGCCTCTGCATGGCTGAATCCATCCTACTCTTCTCTCCTGAACACTCCTTGTTCCTCTTCTGTTCCCGAAAGGCCCGAATCCGACTCCACTGGGCAGGGCAGACCCTGGCCATCCTCTGTGCTGCCCTGGGCCTGGGCTTCATCATCTCCAGCAAGATCCGAAGTGAGCTGCCCCACCTGGAATCCTGGCACAGCTGGGTAGGAGTTCTGACAATACTGGTCAGTGGTGGCCAAGCACTGTGTGGGCTTTGCCTCCTTTGTCCCCGAGCAGCCAGGGTCTCAAGGGTAGCTCGTCTCAAGCTCTACCATCTGACATGTGGACTGGTTGTCTACCTGATGGCTACAGTAACAGTACTTCTGGGCATGTATTCAGTATGGTTCCAAGCCCAGATCAAAGGTGCAGCTTGGTATCTGTGCCTAGCACTGCCCTTGTACCCAGCCCTGGTAATTATGCACCAGATCTCTAGATCCTATTTGCCAAGGAAGAAAATGGAAATTTGAGTGCCTCCAAACACGGACTCTAGGTGGGACACTTACCTTGGACTTCAGTGGTTCCTTGGTGATATTTAAGGGACCCATTTCAGAAGTGGCCAAGTTTTTGCACTTTCTGGGCCAAAGGCTACAAAAACCCAGGTTGCTCTTGTTGAAGGATGATCCAGGTGACCAAAATGGGGGAATGTATTGAGCATAGTGGAATGTGATAGAGAACTTGAGCGTGAAGCCTCTACTCGTGATAGACGACAGACTTATTGGGTGGTGGTGGAGGTGATGGTGGTGGCAATTTCTTATCTGTATTTCTGATGTAAAGTCGAGATCCTATAAGTTATGAATGGAAGCCATCGATATTTGCCCCCACCTCTTAAACTTTTTTTTTTTTTTTTTGCTGGTCTGGGGCTTGAACTCAGGGCTTGGGCACTGTCCCAGAGCTTTTGTGTGCAAGGCTAGCACTCTACTACTTGAGCCATACCTCTGCTTCTGGCTTTTTTTGGGTAGTCAATTGGAAATAAGAGTCTTATGGACTTTCCTGCCTGGCCTGGCTTCAAACCTCAGCCCTCAGATCTCAGCCTCCTGTTTCGCTAGGATTACAGGCATGTGCCACTGGAATCTGGCTGTTTACGTTTTGGGGTTTGTCTTTATTTTTTTGAGACAAAGTCTCACTGTGCAGCCAAAGCTGACCTGTAATCACTATTTAGTCCTGTTTGGCCTCAAACTCAACCTCTTCCTGCTTCAGCCTCCCAAGTGCTAGGATTACAGATCCTGTATCACCATACCAGGTTGGGTACCTCTTGAGAAAGCAGTGTGATGCTTCTCTTTAGGCTCTATTACATAACTAACCTTAGGTAAGTTCCATATCTCAGGACCTCAGTTTCCTCATCTGTGAATGTTTTTAAGCAATCTCTTAAGTCCCTTCTATCTCTTAATAGTCAGTATCAGTCGATATCACTGAAGACTCTCCTAGCTGTGGACCACGTGGACCACTTAGCAGACTCAGGATATAATTCATTCTCCGTTTACTTTCCTGGAGGGAAAGTAAACTCCTGCCCCTGTAGCCCTTCAGAAATTGAAGCTGATATGGCCTCTGGAACAGAGCTCTAAAGGTCAGGCTCTGTTGAAAGAAAGAGTTCAAGAGAGGGTCTTCTGTTTTGTTTTGTTGGCTGTGGGGCTTGAACTCTGGGCCTGGGCGCTGTCCCTCAGCTCTTCAGCTCAAGGCTAGCGCTCTACCACTTAAGCCACATCACCCCTTCCGGCTTTTTCTGTTTATGTGGTGCTGAATCGAACGCAGGGCCTCATGCATGCAAGGCAAGCATTCTACCACTGAGCCACCTTCCCAATCCAGTTTTCTGAACTTTTAAGACAGTAAAGGCACTAAAGTCACTTTAAAGTTTATGGAGGAACAGGGGAAAATCAGATTAACCAAGCCTTTGGCTCCTGGATGACTCCTTCCCTCAGCTAAGAACTTCCTTTAGCTTACCTGAGAATCTGGGCCATACATAGTCCCTGGGTGTGCTCTGTCCCATATCCATTCTCAGGGCAAAGTAGTCCTAGGCATCTTGTGCTTTTTGCCTTTCTTAGGGTCTCGCCTTAGCTCATTGTTCATGGAACAATTCCAAAGGTTTTAGAACAAATAAGGATCAAGGAAGTGGGTGGAGCTCTTCTGATCCAAGGAAAATAGAGACTCCCTGGTTCCTCTTCTCCCCATCATTTAAGCTTTCCTAAGTAGTCTCCTGTTAGAAATTTGGCCTAAGAGGGGCTGAGTTCAGTGCCACTGGCAAATGAGGGCTGAGCTCTCTTTCCTGTAGAGACCCCTCCTTAATCCAGCTAAATGTATTTCCCCCAGACTGCCCTTGGCAGTGAGGGCTGAATGCCAGACTAGTTAGCTGTGGTCTGGCTTAGTCTGGGAGATGAGACCTTCATGGATTATGGCAAGGACTGAAAACAGTTGAACCATGAAAAGCTGCTATGCAGATTTCTATGCAGGGAGACTGGGTCCATTGGGACTCTGGGAGGCCTGGGTATAAGGGCTGGAGCTCTGTTTTGGGGGACTCTGGAGGAAACATCCCAAGCCTTCTCAGGATTCAAGGCCCTCTCCAGGTGGCTGGGAAGTAGGAGGGCTGGTGTGATTCAATAGCACAGGAATGCCTTCCTGAGTGAGATGGATTTCCCTGGAGCGCTCTTAACACTAGGTGTCTGAAAGAAACCCCTGCAGTCCAGAGGTGATTGCTTGTGTCTCTTTCAGTGTCTCCATCCGGCATGATAAGAACTTGGAAGAACTGATTATGGGGCTGCATGGAGTAAATTTTCACCTGGGGATACTCGATCCAGCATTTCCATCATAGCAGGGTTGTGGGGGAGGGAGTGTCATCTCCTCTTGTATATACATGCCGAGCCAGGAAGAGTTCACCAGCTTGCTCTAAGAGCAAGCAGGAGATGCCAGGGAAGCCTGAGCTTGTCTGAGGTGTTGCCTCCTCCCAGGTGGTGCGGGGGGCTGGTGGGCGGGTGGGCAGGCGTGCTGACAGCCGGCAGTTTGCGTGGGCTGTGCCATCTGATGTCTATTCCCAGCCCTGGGAGGAAGGAGAGTCATTTATATTCTGCAGGAGGAAAGGACCCAGCTGCTGCCTTTCTGACCAGCAGGCCTAGAGGGCAAGGGTATCGGGCAGAGGGAGAGTGAGCACAGGTGGTCTCCTGCTCAGCTGGGCCTGACTGCAGTATAAGGAATAGGTCACCAGGAGGAGCCCTTCTTCCTAGCAGGCCACATTGTGGGGGGGACTTCCCCTCCCTTCCTGTCTTTCTATTTCTCCCTGCATCACACCACCTGCCCTCATATCCAGGGGCAGCAGCTGGACAACCATTAGATTTTGGTGCCAGGACACTCTTCCTCCAGCTGGGATCTCAGTGGCTGTTGGCTGAATATGCCTCCTGGCCGTGTGCTCCCCTTGGCCTCCCCCCACCTCTCTGTATCGCCCAATGTATGGGGCGCTAGCTGGGCTTTGAACATAAACCAGAGGTCTCAGGGGAGAAGCAAATGACTGATCTTTGCCCTTGTTCCCTGACTAGGGAAAGCTACTAGTAAGCAGCCTGTTTGGGGGGGGGGGGGGGGGGGGTGGGAGGAGAAGCCTGCCATTTGCACAGATTTCCATATCAAGCTCACTAAGTCCTGATTCCATATTTGATTGTGTTCCAAGTTTGATTATATTCAGACTCAACCTTGAGGACATTATAGCTTTGTATCCAAATCTGAATAGCAATGGGATTACATGTTCTGAGTTTGGATACCGCTCCCCAACCCACCTTGTTCCTGTAACCCCCCCATCCCTTGAGCCCCATCCGGGATGGGGGTGGTACTGAATGGCAGGAGCTCCGAGGAAGTCTTCAGCCTCACCTCCTTGGCTGCCATCCCCATCCAAGACAGACTGCTATCGCTTGCCAGCCTGTGCCTCCTCTCCTCACCCCCGCACAAGACAGGCCACCTTTCCTCCTTCCCTGACAATGGCCTGTCCCTTCTTTTTTCATTGTCCCCATCCTGCCACCCCCATGCATGGCTGCTGCGGGTCTTGTTTTTCAAACCTCACTGTGGGAGATCCAGGCATCCTCCCTGAGCCAGCTGGCTGCTGTGCCAAGGCCTGTTCAGAGTTAATAATAATCATTAGTTGAATGGTGCTGGGGCCTTTCAGCTCTAGATCTCTAAGCACTCACAGGCTGAGTCAGCCAGCCCTAACCTTCCTCCTCTTCCTGGGCTGCAGAGTATAACAGGATGGGGAGGCGCTGTGGGAGAGGAGAGCCAGGATTCTCACAGTCTAGCCTTGCCTTGAGGCTGCTCTCCTCTGGGAATATGCACTGAGATTCTTCAATATGCTGGTAAGGCCTGTGCCCCTGTCAGAGGCTGAGATGTGTAGGGAACATGATGTACTCAGTTAAGACTGGTAGTGGCAGAGGTAGTGGATGACCCTGAACCTCTCCTACTCCTGCCCTTCCTTCTGCTTACCTGGCTTGGCTGATACCCTCATCTTTTCCTGTGCCCCTCTGCAAGCTTAGGAAACAATGATGCTAGCTGAATGCCCCTAATGCCCTTGTGTCCGAGTGGCATAACGAGCCTGTGCATCATGAAATGAAAGGTGCATCAGCCTGCGTGCTGGGAGTGCTGCTGTCTGGGTTTACTCAGCCCTTAATGCTGATGGTGGCTATGAGCAAACCACTGGCTACTCTGCCTACCTCACAGGGATGTTGTGAGGGTTACAAGAGAGAATGAATGTTAACAGGCACTGAATATCAAAACACTAAACACATATAAACCGGTGGTGTTATGTTCTGTCTTTTTCTCTCTCATTGAGCCTGGATCTGGGCCTTGCTTCCTAGATAGATGATAAACCTTCCTAGACAGATGATAATGACACTTGGAGGGACCCATGCTTCAGAAAGGTTGTGCTGCGGGCTGGGAAGGTGGCTCAGTGGTAGAGCGCTTGCCTTGCATGCTCGAGGCCCTGGGTTTGATTCCTCAGCACCACATAAGCAAAAAGAAAAAAGCTGGAAGTGGCGCTGTGGCTCAAGTGGTAGAGAGCTAGCCTTGAGCTGAAGAGCTGAGGGACAGCGCCCAGGCCCAGAGTTCAGGCCCCATGACCGGACCAAAAAAAAAAAAAAAAAAGGTTGTGTTGCCATTGTAATAAAACACAGACACATTTCTTCTAGATACAAGGTCAGCCCTTATCACTCCTGCCACAAATGCTACCAAGGCAATGACGAGTGAGGTTTGCACTATGTGCTCCCTGCCTGGGGCTCTCAAGTCGCCAGGCTGGCTGCAATATCTTATATGAGTACAATTATTCCCAAGCCTTGCCTGAAATACCAGGAGCTCATCTTTGACAGGAGCTTCTGGTTACAAATTATCTAATGTGAATCTCTTCTCCCTTAATTCTGTCTGAGTAGGAGGAGCAATAGTAGCTAAAACTGCAGGCCAACCTGGCAGTCTGGTTTGCCCTCTGACCCTCATGCTGGGCCACAGAACTATGATTCTTGTCTTCCGGGGGGCTACAACCTGGTTTCCTTCTACCTTTCCCAGGCTATTGGAATAGGATCACTCCCTTCTTGGGACTTTATCAGAATTGCACAAGCATGTACGCACACACACATTCCACATCCACACATGCCTGCTGCAAAAAGTTTTGTTTAAATTTTAAGTCAGAGGGTACCTTCCATTCCATTTGTCTGAGAGCAGGCTATAGTCGAGACTAGGGTAAAAGCAGAGAGGCAGAAACAGCAGCAGCAGAGGCTGGAGTATTCATTTTTTTAACCTTAATTTTTTTTCTGTCCTGGGATTCAGGAATTAACACTAGTTAGGCATTGTGAGCCTACCTGTAGCCATTCTTATCAATATGGGCACAAATAAGACAGATGCTGAATGATGGGAGGCAGTGCCCCACAACTATCCTAGAGCCTGGCTGGAAGTAGACAGTATCAACACTGAGCTGGGCTTAACATAGGCACAAATGACCTACTCTAGTAGCCTATCCCCACCCCCCTGACTGGGCTAGGCACCAGTATGGTCAGTCCATTTTTAATCCAGCTGCTCTTATCACAATTTCTCAGATGAGATGGGTGCTGGTGGCTCACACCTGTAATCCTAACTACTCAGGAGGCTAAGATTTGAGATTAAAGTTTGAAGCCAGCCCAGGCAGGAAAATCCATAAGACTCTTATCTCCAATTAACTACCAGAAAACTGGAAGTGGCACTGTGGCTCAAATAGTAGAGTGCTAGCCTTGAATGAAAAAGATCAGGAACAATGCCCAGGATCCAAGTTCAAGCCCTATGACTGGGGAAAAAAAGAATTTCTCAGATAAGTTTTAACCTCTCTTAGAAGCAGATTATGGAAACATTTCAGGCTGTTCTGTGGTTTGAGAAGTCATCTCTGTTTCACTGCACATGTACTGAGTGGCCCCTGTTTTTAAAGCAGATTCCCTGTT